TACCCAATTTAACAATTATATTCTTTTAAGTAGTTTTCAGTCCATTTCATTCCCTGGGACTATTGATGCAGCCACATTAAATCTCATCTTGTCCTTAAAAGCCTTACTACGTCTGTTTCTTATTTTCTTTTTCTTCTTTAGATGGCGATGTAAAAGAATGACCCTACTTCATTTCCTTTTGTATCTTACTCTAGCTTTTTGTTTTGCTGTATCTTTCAGGTGTTGCAGCCACCCATACACACTTGGTCAAATCACAGCCTCCCTTGAAAGGATGCTCTAGTACCTCACATATAATGAAAAGAGTACAAAGCATTGTGGCATAGCTGCTTCCTGGCCTTTGCGATGCTCCGTGTTGTAAATCCTACCATGCAATGCTATTATCTTGATTTAAACAGTCCATTAACACTTAAAGAGATTGAAATAATAGGAAAGTGTTTCTCATCTACTCACAGCCCTATGTCCTTCTTTCCTTTGCGTAGCTGGATATAAGTTCTGTTTGGTTGATGGCCTTCCCTTGACTTCCTAGTAGTACAGGTACGCTGATGACAAACACTTGTGCTAGAGATATTTACAACCTCTATTTCCTTTCCTATCGGAACGCCACCAGCTCTGTGAAGGAAGCTCCAGGCTATTTTCTTACAGTGCTGCTTCACCTCCATCTCCGCCTCTCCCATCTCCTGACTTCCCATTTCTGAGAAAAACCTGGGAGTCACTCTCCTTGAAAGGGTCTCTCCATTCCTCCTCCAGCTACTTTGAAGAAACCGTCTCACCTCTGGGTTTTACCTGTTTGATCTTGTCTGCATTAGCTCATCTTCCTGTTGTTACCACAAAAGCTATTTAGGGTGGAAATGGTTTATTTTGGCTCATGGTTTGAGAGTGCCGCCCATGATCACACAAAAGTCATAGCCATGGAAGCTTGAGGTGGAAGCCATTGTGTCCAAAGGCAAGAAGCAGAGAGAAATGCTAGCACTCAGCTTGCTTTATCTCCCCCCCCCCCCTTTTTTTGGACATCCAAGATACCAGCCTAGAGAATGGCACCACCCACAGTGGGTAGGTCTTCCCACCTCAGTTAACCTACCAAGATATTTTCCTCTAAGTACACCCAGAGGCCGGGTGGTCCACTCTCCATCTCTCCACTCCTTTTCTGAGAGTGACTTTTGGTCTATTTTTATCACTAACATCCTTACATGCTACCTTCATTATTCCAAATCACCTCATTAGGAGAGACTTTGCTGTCATTTATTTAACCTCTCTCCGGTAGCTCAAACTTCCAAGAAGCAACTTGCCTTTACTATAGAGATGGTAAAACAACCCAGAGGATTGGGAGATGGTTCAGTAGACGAGAGAGTGTTCGCTGTGCAAGCAAGAGGACCAGAGTTCAGATCCCCGCATACCTGCAACAGTGGGGTATGCCTATAATCCCAGTACTGGGAGGGATGGAAACAGAAGCTCTCTGGGGCTTGCTGACTGACAACTTAGCTCCAGATTCTAGGAAACCCTGTGCCAAGGGAGTAACAGGGAAGGACTTGTCCTTTTTTGTCCTCCCCACGGGAGCATGCTTACCCGCATACACACATGCACAAACCCTCATATATTCCACACATGGGCATTTGTGACCACATGCACACATACACACTCACACACATGCACGCAAATCATCCATGCCCTACAGCTACTTTACAGAGCTCAATCCAGCATTCCTAATCACGATTTAAATAAATCCTGGATCAGATTTGTCTTTGCCAAACCAGTTGAATGCTCTGAAAATGCCATAACTTTTCCTACTGCCAGTGGGGCTGAGCTAAACCTCACTGTCATTACCACAAAGAAGAGAGAGGAAAACAACCTTTTCTGCCTTTACAAACATTAGCAAGAAGAAGAAGGGGAGGGGCAGGGGAGAGGGAAGAAAAGGGAGAAGAAAAGATGTTAGTTAACCAGTTTCACAACAAACAAATTATTTCAAGAATAGACACCCTGCTGGGCAGTGGAGGTGCACACTTTAATCCCAGCACTCTGAGGCAGAGGTAAGAGGATTTCTATGAGTTCGAGGCCAACCTGGTCTACAGAGCAAGTTCCAGGACAGCCAGGACTGTTACACAGAGAAACCCTGTCTCAAAAAAAAAAAAAAGAAAGAAAGAAAGAAAGAAAGAAAGAAAGAAAGAAAAAAGGAAGGAAGGAA